ACTGTATGGTCATTCACTGAAGGTGCGGCCAAAACTGTGTGCAGAAAAGCAACAGAAGTGAGCAAAATGTGTTCAGTTCATTAATTCTCAACTTAAATAAACCTCAGTGAAAGAACATGAGTACTTTTATCGTATCTAATTTAATCGAAAACTCGATTTTGATTATGTGTAAATTTAGGATTCAAGATTCTGTTAAAAACAAAGAAATTGTCCATGTGAACATTTAATTAGTGTATAATATGAATGCAATAATTAAATGTAGCTTGATCTCCAGCCTGAACCGAGGAGGGGCGTATTGGATGTTTGCCAGTAAACCACGCTACATGCAAGACATGTGCTCTCCCTCTCATACACACCCTCTACACAAGGATTGTTAGCTGTTTAATACCCATTACTGTTATTTCTCTCTAAGAAAAAGCATCTAAATGAGCTTTTGTAGAGTGAAGCAGTTAACTTATTGGTAAAAGATTTATTGGGATTTTAACCAATATGTCTTTATACTACACTTAAACTTTTTATGATGAATCAAACCAATATGCAGCATCGCCTATCTGAAACTGTTGTCCTTAATTAGGATACTTCAAAATGAATGCTGTGCAATCTCAAAACCATTAGCTAACTAAAGAAAATCCTCCAAATTCACCGTGTTTATCTCCAACTCTTTGGCAGTCTCTGCGATCAATATCACAACCCCCCCAAAAAATGGGAAAAAATGAAAAAAAATTAAGAAATTTTTAAAAAAAAAAAAATCCCATCGCTTTAAAGACAAGTATATCTACTAGACTTGATTTGACTGAAAGCCTGTACTTAAACATAATGAATACGCATATAGAGGGTGTACACAGGGCATACATAATGCGCTTTGTCTACCTCCACCCTTAAGAGTTGAGTGCCAATAAAAATAATAAAATGCAAAAATAAATAATGCAACAAGCAGCCAAAGCCATGACCCCTATAAAATTTGTTTTGAAGAACGCATTACAGGATAATAAAATAAAATTGAGCTCAAACACATGGAGAGAATTCACTCTGCTAAACTTGTCAGACCTGCGGCTACAGTGGCGCTTGTAAACAACCCTACCTACAAGCACACATTCAGCCTCATGCAAACGCACATGCAATCTCACACAAACAGCAGAGGCTCACGGATTACTCTGAAACATGAAGAGGGGGAAATCTTCAAATGGAGAGGGAGAAAGAGGAAACCCAAAGAAAATTTAAAAAGAATTTGCTCACAAGGCAGAAAGGGAAAAGAAAAATAATCAAACAGTACCTCCTATAGCATCCATGTCAGGAGAGAAGGGTGGGACACCTGCAGAACCTCGCATGTCTATCCAGAGCTCTTCAGCGACTGCTCCCTCACGGAGCAGAGTGTGTGTATGAGCCAGAGAGAGAGTATGTGTGTGTTGGTGACTGAGGGAGGGGATCCTACCATCCTACCCCTCCTCCTTCGGACTGTGCCTCCTTAACAGGATGGAGGGGTAGGTGGGGCCACCGCAATAAAGCAAACACATACACACACATTTCTCTATGGTTGTTATGTCCTCGCATCTCTCACTCTTTCCCGCCTCCACACTTCCATCTTTCCATCTCTTTCCAAGACTTGCTCTCTCCCTCCTTCCCTCGCACACTTGTTCTCGCGCTTCTCACCTCGTGTTTCCCTCTGAGTCTTGGTCTGTCTGCCAGGCTCCTACACTCTCCCACTACCTTTCATCTCCCACCCCTCTCTACTCCTTGCCCCTATCCCCTCCTTTCTCACTGTATCGTAATACTAACATGCATGCTCTTGTTAATCTGGAGGGGAGAGGGACATATGCTGTTTCTGGCTGGTGGTCTACAACCTGCTAAACTCCTGGTGTGTATGGCATGTGTGTGTGCGTATCCTGTTGGTTTTTAGTCTCATAATACTACGCTGCTAGGATTAGGCGGGACAGTCAGAGAGCACTGCATGGTGGAGAGGTGAAAAGAGAGAAGAGGGACAGCAAAAAAAGAGGAGCGGCGCCACGATCAAGAGCAGCAAAACACACTTCTTTTTTTTTTTTAACCTTTTATAGTTCTTTTTCTGGGTCGCTGTGCCAGCACCCCTCCTTTCCTTCATTCATCCGGCCACACAAGTCCCATCTGATTCAGGGAGTACCCATCCCTACATAAATCATTCTCTTATTCCATTGGCCACACATTACATTCAAAATATTGATTCCCCCCCCCCCCCCTGCTGCAGCACTGATTGCAAGGAAACCCTGCACACTGGTCACAAACAGGAAGTGGAAAAACAAACCACGGGTGTGTTTCGATTGACCACAATGGCGGACTCAGAGCTTTGGTCACAACACTGACAAGGGGAATCTATGCCTTTCTGCACAAATAATGGAAATCCAACAACCAAGTAAAACAGAGAAAAAGGCAGTTAAAAGGAGTTCAGAATGATTTACAGCCACATTATCCTCAAAACAACCCAGAAAGCACCACTAGGAACAATGACGTACATCTGCTTTTCAACATTTTCAGTCTACAGAGTTAATGTCTTAAGATTATTTCTTGTTACATAAACCATGCACTTTTGAAAACAAAACTCAGTTTTAAACAAACCATTGTCCTTGAATTCAAACTGACCATCAGAAGGGCAAATGCTGCTGTTTCCATGACAGCACAGCTGACGATACTTTGAACTCTGACCTTATACTCCTGCCTTTTGCTCGGAAGCAGTGACCAACCCAAAGGGTCAATCAAAACGAGGTCAGGAGAGGTCGAATGGTAACGACTTCTCTCTGGTTACGCAATCACACCATATCAACCTCCACCAAATGCATCTAAGCATCATTCATCCTAATCAGAGCAGTGCACCTTCCAGGAGCAAAGAAGGGGGGATGCTGCATTCAGGGATCACACAGGGAAGAGCAAATATGAAAATCTGAAATAAGAAAAGAGGATAAAACCACGACAGAAAGTAATCACTTATACTTGTGGACTCCCATTCATTCATGCAGCGGGCCTGTATTGATGTATTAATCTGTCTGTCACAGACCACTTTATGTAGTCATTTAGAAGTAATTTTGATGTAATTATCTTATATTATTTTGCAATTATGCGCAAGAAATTGGATTAAAATAAGGGAATGAGGTCAGTGAGCATGATTCAGCTGCATTTTTAAGAGAAATATGTACAATGTAATAATGGCAGGAAGGCTCTTAACTCATGGCATGCAATGAAAAGCATGATTATTCACATTACTCCAGATGAGAAATATAAGAAGTTATAATAAGAACTATATAATAAATTATCCTGTAAGGTTCATACACAGGTATACCAGAGGCCTAAGATGAGTCAGCAGTTTTGTGTGATTTTTTTGTTTTTGTTTTTTTAAAGTGTAGCGACAGATCCCAACAACAAAAAGGTCTCATTCATCAGAGAGGATGGCGGGCAAGTGCACCAACTGTATTTTATAGAGAATGTGGTCTCATCTTGAAAGACAGAGGGGTAAATCTTTAAGAAAGGATGATACCGTCTTCTGGTAGAGAAACTGGGTTGGAAGATATGGGGGAAAGACAGATGAAGGGGTGGAGGGACTGATCAGAGGGGTGCCAGACACAAAGAGGCCAGGCCATGGCCAGTGGCACGCGATGGGCAGATTAACCAGCGTTTCCTCCCCTAACTGAAGCATTAGGACACCTGACTGAGTCCCGCCAATGGCAGCCAGCCAAGGATTTGTTGGGGGGGGAGACAAGCTGAGGCTCGCCTTTCAGCACTCAGGCTCTGCAACTGCACAAAGACGGGCGGGGTGGTTTTCGCTTGGGGGGGGGGGGAATAAGGGGTGATGGGCTGGTGGCTTGGAGTTGGGAGGGGGGCCTACAAGCCTAACCCCTCACCATCTGCTGAACAGGCTAAGTGAGGACAGGGGTAGGGCCAGAGTGCGGGTGGAGTATGTGAGCGCGTGCATGGAAACTACGCGTGTATCTGCATGCACGCACCTGTTAGTGTGTCAGTGGGCGGGTGAGTGGGATGGCAGATGGACAGGGCATACTCCTGGCACTACAGCTTCAGTGTTAGTCATCCCAAATTAAGGAGTATCCCCCCTTCCCCCACATTCCTAACCCCTGCTACCTAATACACAGTGCCAGCCAATTCTTTATGTTTTGCTCAGTTTGATTAAGACATCCATGATTAGAGACATTATGAGCTGGGTGAGACGGTGTGTGAACAGCTTAGCCATGCGGCTCTTTACTGTAATCAAAGCCAAACAGATGCAGTCTCATTGGTCCCCACGCCACTCAGCAATATCTCATATTCTGACATTGCAGACACATTTTATTCAAATTTCATCTTGAGCAAAATGCAGCAGAAATATGGATATATTTATACACACACACACACCACTGCTGCCCCAGACAACACATCTTCATACCATAATTTGATAATCCCCCTACCAACCCCCTTGTTGTTTGCCTGAATTTACTCTCACACATTGTGATCTGTTTATCCCCCCCCCAATTTAGGGGAAAAAAAAAAAAAAAAAAAAAAAAAGGGGGTCAGAGTGGCAGACAGTTCAGTCTTGCTGAGCAGTAATCTGAAAAAAAAAAAAATGCCTGTAATCCTCCATACAGAGCCCTTCTGGAGACCGTGGTTATATGTGGAGGTGTAGCCTCGTCTCAGTTTAGCAGCCATGTGTCTGACCAAGCCTGACACGCAACTAGGTCCTTACAGCTGCCAGGACACACACTGAGAGATGAGGCACAGTAAAGCTGCCCCCGGTCACTCACTGGAATAATTATGCTTTTTTTTTTTTCCCCCATACAATGCCGAGGTGGCGCAGGTCACTGAACTTAATCATCTCTGTGTTGGTACAAGTGACATAAATGAGAGCCAATGAAATCATGGTTTATGATCATGCTATTATAAATTTAGAGTGGGCACAGTACACCAACTGGCACTCTTTCTGAAAGTTGAGATGATCAGACTAAAACAACGCTCACTGATAACTCTTTACTTGGAAACACCAAAAGTGACAGTATGAGTGTATTAGCTTTTATTTTGGTGGCACTCATTTTTAGAGAGAACACGTGATTTCTCCCAGGAGACTTCTACAACGACGAAGTGGCACTGGTACTCCTGAAAGAAATGGCAAATTAGTACATTTAACTACTATGCAATTTGAAAATATTTTTTTTTTATTTAGGGGGGGGGAGGGGTTAGTGGGGTTATGATGCATTTACCCCCTCGGTGTGTTATGCACCACCCAGTTCTTGAACTTGCCTTGCGTCTAGACTGGAAAGCACATGGCTCGCTGTCCGCAGCAGCGTGGTTTCTGCTGCACACAGTCTGCCCCAGCAGCATGTCCAGAATGTACTTTATTCCCGCAACTACCTGCAGAAAACATCACCACCTATTCGTATATTTTAACTGAAAATTGGGTTGTGACTTCTGATGAAGTTTTACCTGAATTTTAGCCGATGTTATCGCCACAGTTTTATAAGCGAACATCTCTCCTGCGTTGACTTTGTTGAATTCAGCCACAGCAAAGTGAGCTGCCGTCAAAACCCTGGTGTCGTTAACCGGAACACGTCGGGGCTCCCCGGTCATGGTTTGTTCGGCGGCCGAAGCACAAACAAAAACAAAAACAAAAAACCAGGCAAACATCCTGAATCAAAACATGTGGGTTCAAAGTTTATAAAAGAACGTCTAGGCTCTGAGTGCCTAACTTCGCATTATATGCCGGGTTAAAACTTGCTCGGTAAACGCACACCTGCGTCCAATCTGCTGATTAACTGAACGTAAAAGAGACACGCGCCACTCAGAACAGTAGATTCGGTGTTGCGCGGCAACCACGTTGCTGAGCTACCGAGAAACACAAGCTACTACAGACTAAAAAAATATATATACAATGAATTTAAGAACTAATGGCATGTTTATTATTTAAAACAACAATGTCACTGCTATAAAGACAAAGTATCAGTGATTATTTGAATATATGAAGGGTGACAAGGGGGGAAAAATAACAGAAACGCCAATAAAAGGGATAAAACCCCATTCTTCTTAAAGTTATTCACTCATTTTGTGTTTTGATCATGTGGGTAAGCCTAAAATCTTTCACAGGTGTTTCTCCTCAGATCTCTCCCCTTGAATCTGCAGGTCTGGATCAACTTGATCCTTATTTTCACAAGCTGACAAGAGATTTTATATTAGAACTACTGACTTCTATTTTTAACATTCTCCTTTCAAACAATGAGATCTCTGTCATATGGAAATCTGCCTATGTTTTCCTTTTATTAGAAGGAAATTACCAATCAGTTACAGGCCAATTTTAGCAACGGTGTTTTAGCAAAGGTTTTCCAAAGACTTATCAATGAACAACTAACTGTTTTCCAACATTAGTCAAGTTTTAGAAAGCAGCACAGCAAAATAACAGCTGTTGTTAATGTGGTGAATGTATAATGGTGCAATGGACTGCACAAAACATTGTGCTGTTCTTTTTCATGATCTGTTTTGACACAATTGATCATGACACCTAAATGGACAACCCAACATTGGCTTGTCTGCAAATGCTTAAGTTGGCTTTTACATTACTTGTCAGCTAGAACATAGTACGGCCCCTTTACTGCGTTTTCTTCTTCTTTTCTCCCAGTATCCAGTGAAGTTCCCGAGGGCTCTATATTAGCACCACTCCTCTCTTTCTCTATGCAACTAACATTAGTGAAAAATGTTGCATTTTCTTTTATGCTTATATGACTCCTTGAGTCATATAAGCCCTCAAATTTCTGATGCTTGTTAAATGAAGGCAAATCCAATGTGGTGATGTTCTCAAATAGCAAAGAGTTAACAAATTTGCCTAAAATCAAAACCACTCAAGGGGGTAAAATTGAAACGGTCACAATTTAGGCAAGTATTTAGGCATCATTACAGATCAAAAAATGTCTTTTAAACCCAAGCTGAAAAGCTTGTGACCAAGCTGAAATATAATCAAGTTTCTTTTAGGAATAAATCTTATTTCTTGCTCCTCGTGTGGAAACACCTGATTTCTGCAACTTTTTTTGTGATGGTGAGGTGTTCTTTATGATCAGTACCATTGTTCTTTATGTTTTATTATTAGCTTGGAAATCATGGACATCACTGCTTGGGCTAGTTATACACCCAGTGCACCTATGTCACTTTATCCTGGAATAATCTACAAAAGGAGCTGAAACAATCAGAACTGAGGGAGTTAAAATCAATTTTAAAGGACCAAGTTGCTCTTGTAATGATCTGTTATTGTGTATGTTTAAAGATATTAGTGTTTGCCATTTTTATCTTTGTTATATTGTTATATATTTCTCTTGCCCTCTTTGCCAGGTCTCTCTAATAACATTTACCTAGGTAGATCAAGGATATATACATAACCAAGCTGAATGATAGTCTCTTGTGCAACATTTTACTGGTGTGGTAAGCAATTTTAGTTTAAAGACTGCAGGGTCAGTTACTGGTTTCAAAAACTACTAAACACAAATTGTCAAACTCCTCTTAGGCCACATACAGCCCAGTGTGATTGCAAGTGAGACCAACCAGTAAAATATTGCATTAAAAAAACAGTATTCCAATGTTTTTTCCTATTTGTTTGAACAAGTAAATACTAAAAATGTAAAAATAAATTAATAAATTAATACATTTAAAAAAATAAAGTTTTAAAAAGAAAAGAAAAATCAATAAAACCAACCCCCAAATGTAAGACACCCTTTATCCCACTCCTCTCAGTTTATGTTATTGCATAAGCCACAAAATATTGACATTTGGAGCTTTTATACCTAAACAAGAACATTATTTTATGTCTTTACTAATACTTTCCATATAGGTAAACTTCTATGTAGTAAAACTGGCAATACAAAATGAATAAAAGTGTTTTTTATTGAAAAATTGAAGTAGGTAATGACTGCACGAAGTTTTTACAATTTACAAAGCTATGCAGTGGGCCAAACTTAACCAGTTTCTAGCCTCTGGGTCGCATATCTGACGTGACTGTACTAAATCATTTACACAACAAGGTTATTAAAACGCAGCCTCACCCAGGCACAGAAAATTCCTTGAAATGGGGATATCAAAGAGCATTGCTGTAAATCCATCCTCAAAACTTTGAAGTCTGTGTGAGAAAGGGTACAAGCAACTTTAAAGGGGTTGCAGGGTTACCATGTTAAATACAATATCGGATGGAAACACTGCAAAATAACGCAAAGCACACCTTGCCCAACCCGAAGCCTGGCAGCAGCATGTTCATGCTATGGAAACGCTTCTATGCCGCAGACCCTGTAAGGGTTTGTGAAGGTAGATGGATCCAAAGGATCAAAATATGGGTAGTAAAATATGCTTTTTTTGGTAACAGGACAATTTTAAACATAATTTTGTATCCTTTTGCAAAGGTGTGTTTTAAAACCGAATCTATTTCTACACAATTCAGCCTGAATCTACTGCCAACTGTGACAAAAACACACAATAAATTATTTTCCTTAGTTTCCCAGCCTTATCACACACACACACATACAGACACACACACGCAATGTAAACATGAACTCTCACATAATTAGGCTTGCAGTAAGTCACCAAATTAAGATGAGAACAATATCAGCTAAATTGTAAGATGTGTTTATTTGTAATATGAATGGACATTCTAGGGGTTTTATAAATCTTATCATGTAATGTGACATAGTTTTTGAGTTAACTGCAGACAAATATTGAGAAATGTCGACTCATAGTTGCAGAGTCACATTCATGAGAGGATCTTTGCCCAGAGAGTAGTGTGGTGCTGTAGAAGACATTGGGAGGGGGGCATAAATGGACATAAACTACAGCGTTTGTGAGTTGCATTTAAAGATATTACCAAATTAATACCAAAATGTAAAAAAAATATTCCTTTGTTTCACTGTGAACTTCCCACAAGGCTGCGGTAATCCAAAATGTTGAGACAGTGTGTAGTGTGGGTGGGAAAACAGCATACTGAAGGTGGGTGCTGAGTTTATTTCACAGAAGCAAATGATCTTTTCAAGGCCAATATGAAAAGGATAAATAACTGAATTAGTACTGCAACTAACCAGTGTTCCTATTTCCAGTTTATCTGCCGATTATCTCCCTGTTAATCAATAAAGGTTTTTTCTTGATAAAATATCCGAAGATGGTAAAATAGTAAAGGGAACAGAACGTGGAAAATCCCGACAACCAAAAACATGAAACCAGATAAAGAAAACCAGAAAAGTGGCATCTTTTCTTGTTAAATAAATGATTTAAATGACGAATTGCTTAACAAAATGACTGCAGAGTGATTTTCCTCTTGAACAACCAACCTCTTATTCCTGTCAGCTCTACATATATTGTATTAAGGTTCACTCAAAACCCAATCTATCATTTAATGAATCTCTTCTCCTCCTTTTGAAGGAGAAAATGTTTTGCAGCTGAACTTTAAAAAGCTTTTAAAACTTGAAAATACTTCAGCAATTAGTCTCCAGAAAGAAATCATCCTGAATCAAAAGCAAACATATAAAGTTAGGATGTTGTGTAAAATGTAAATGAAGCAGTTATTTTCAGAGCATTTAAATACTCTAATTGTAAATAGCATAAAAGATAACATTTGAAGGTGAGAGCAAAAAAAAGGGAATAAAAAAAATGTATTTGATGCCGGCAATATATTTGTTTAGATAGAACAAGGTTGTGTAATGTTTAAAAATAACCACTGGCTGGAACATATCACAGCTAATCAGGTTAAACAGTAACACGACTGGGTGAAAAATTAACATGCCAGAGAGGCTGACGATTTTCAGAAGTAAACATGTGGAGGGGTTTACCGTCCCATGAAAGAGTACTCAGAAATTTTTAAAAATTAAATTTATAACTCAATTTAAACTTGCAAAGAATTCCCACATCTATGGTTCTCAGATAGCATCTCACAGGCAAGTAAATAGTGCACTTACTCACATTTTATTTATTCGTACACGCACTGTTCACTTTGTTAGGTTCAATTGCTTGTTAAGGCAAATATCTATCTAACAACTCAGTGCATTTAGACATGTAAACGCCATGATCAAGATGACCTGTTGAAATTAAACGGACTATCAGAAAAGTGATTTGAGTGATTCTTTACTTAAGATGGTTGTTGGTGCCAGATGGGTCTGAGTGTTTCAGAAACTGCTGATCTGCTGGGATTTTCCCACACAATCACTCCTAGGGTTTATAGCAAATAGTCTAAAAAAGAAAAAAAAGAAAATATTCAGGGAGCAGCAGCTCTCTGTGTGAAAATACCTTGTTGATGCCAGAGGTCAGGAGAATGGCCCGACTGCTTCAAGCTTATAATTAGGACACAGTAACTCAAATAACCACTCGTTATAACCAAGGTACGCATACCATGGTTATAACGAGCATCTCTGAACACACAACAGTCTGAAATCTGAAAGAGATGCGAACCATGTCCGTCCCATGACCACAGCGTTACCCATCTTCTGATAGCTACTTGCAGCATTTCACAATGCTTAAATAATCTAAAACTATTTTCTTTTTTGAACATGGGAATGAGTTCACTGTACTCAAATCATGTCCACAGTCACCAGAGCTCAATCCACATCATGGATTTACAGACAGCACATCTGCAGCGACTGAGTGATGCTATCGTGCCAATATGGATGAAAACCTCAGAGCAAATTTTCCAGCACCTCGTTGAATCTATGCAAAGAATTAAGACAGCTCTTAAGGCAATGCAGTACTAGTGTGCTGTACTTAATAAAATCACCAATCAATGCATACTATGACATAGCAGCATGACATGAGTGACAGTTATA